CATTTCATGGACATGTTGCTAGACTTTATATTAAATGGATGATAGCTTAAGCACTGCTGGTCTTGAATTGTAAAAAGGAGAATTTCGAACATTAGATATCAATCTGAAAAAATAAATGTAGATATAATAACCTCCTTCATGAGATAATATTGGTGCATATATCATGCAAAGTATTGTCTTGAGGCAAGCACACATAAAACCGACAGTAAATCTGATTAAAATACCATGACAACTGGTTAAACCTTAGCAACCTGTTCCCTCCCTACCCATAGCTGAGAGCTTCTGGGCAAAAATGTTAAGAAGTGCTGCTCCAAATGAACAAATTGGATTAACACTCTGAAAAAGCTGATTATCATCTTAACTCGGGGATCAAACGCCACATCAGCTCCCGAGAGGCCTTGGATTCCACATTTGCATAAAGGTTAGCTGATGTTGTGGTATTTTCTCTCATTACACTGACACCATATTAAAGTAGGGTGACCACTGATAACCTAGTTCCTCATGCAAAAATGTAAGATTACGTTAAGATACTCTGCCTTTTCTAATCAGTGACCATCTACAACGCATTCATTGGGAGCCTTGTACTTCAAATGATTATTGTTCATTGGATTTAACGGTGCAAAAGTCAAAGATGGAAAACAAATGTGGCACACAACTGCTGGACATGGCTTGCACTCTGCAAACACATTTACTGACATCTTCCCTAATTTCCCCAAGTAGTTTAGCCTACTTTTCATAAATAAGCACTGACATTTGCTTCCCAACTTATGCTTTTTTTGTGTAATGTTGATGAGGTAGACTAATTTGCAATAACTAAAAAACATCATGCAAGAAAACTTAAAAAGGGACACCATAAAATGGAGAATTCAACTACAACTGTAACCATTTGCACTCCGTCCTTAAAACACACACACACACACACCAACAATCATGTTTCCCGCAGTTCGCCCCAACAAATTTCCCCAGTAGGCCCCCACGACTGGCTGAAAGCCCAGTTGCACACTTTTCTCCAGCCCTGGGTCCCCAATCTCTCCCTCTTCTTTTTTCTGTCCATCATTCTGCTCTGCGCCCAGCCATCCCTTCTTTAACCACCAAAAGAAGTGTCCCTTGTTTAGCTCCGCCACCCTCAGAGCCTCTCATCTATCCTTCTCTTGTACAGCCGTTCACATGTGTACTTCCTTTCATGAGCAATACTCTCAATGAAATCACAGGGGCAATCACTATGACGACAAATGGTTGAACTCTTCATACCCAGTTCCACCTTAAGCATCAGCAGAATAAAAAAAAGGTCAAATTGGTGTGGTACATAAAGTGCTGCAATACTGTAAGTGATCGTCAATGGAGCTAGCCATGCAAGTTATCTCTATACATGGAATATGGACAGCTGCCAATGCGATGCTTTTCACCCCCTTTATTTGTTTGTTTGTCTTTCGCCTGATGATAATTATAAAAGGATGATATGTGCGAAGAAAAGCATGTCCTTCTTAATAATGGTAACACTAACCCTTTGAAATATTTCTCAGAATAGTGTTTGAAAAATAGCATAAAGGACAGAGACAAGCTGTTTGTTTCTCCTCCTTGCCTGAGTGAGGGTTGACCTGATTTGGAGTTGGTCAGAAGAGGATGGCCAGTGGAGGCCTTTCCCATCTCAAAAAACATCAAAATGCCACTCACGCCACATGCAAACTTTGTCAGACACTCAATTCACTGATGCTTTGATCAAGTATTTCAGCCTCCTCAACAGAATCAGTCCAGGTAGCAGAGTTTCTCTTGCACCTTGCATTTTAGAGTTTTCTTTTTTCTGATGGGTTGACTGTGTTTGATAAAACTTGTTGGGGGTTCAAAGAGTCCTGCAATTCAAAGAAAGCAGTATGTGTTCGCGCATCTGCCCGGGGCCAAATCATAACAGTGGGGGACAGCTTCAACTTAAATCAAAAACACTATTTTGGCCAAGCTTGGCTTCTTTCATTGCACCAAATAGTAGGACTGGGTAAAATCAAATTTTCATTTAATCTAGATCTTCATTTGTACAATCCCAATATTGACAGCCCAAAATCAATCTGTTACTCTATATACTGTAATAATGTGAACGAGAAGACACAAATCTTGCTAACAGTCTTATTTTAGTTTTATTTCAATAATATTATAGTATTTATTCATATTTTGAATCAGTGCTTTAGTCATTTTCATGAGTTTATTTTTATTCAGTTTAGTTTTAGTCATTTATTTGTTTTCATAAGTTTTTTTGCATTTAATATTTATATTTTGCATTTTATTTCAGCTTTTTTTATCCATTTGTAATAGTTTTATTTAATAACAATAACACTGGAACTGAATCAGTAAATCTGGATCGATACCCAGTCCTACAAAAAAAAGCATGCAAGTAGTCATTATGTCAGACAATCTAGTGACTGGTAGAGACATGTATTTGTTTAATGATTGTAATTCACTCAAAATCATCAAGTAAATGGTTTACTTCTTCTGAAATCCATGTGAAGGGAGAGCCTGAAGCATTTACTGAATTGCAATCCAATATTATAAGCAAAACTGCTTACCATGTGCATTTAAATAAAAATGCTGCAAGACTCAAGGACACCAAGCAGATAGTAGCATAAATGTTTTAAAAACACAGACCTCTTATCGTCAAAGCTGACCTAAACATGTGGGTGCACACAGAGCAAGCGTTCACGGATTGTGGCTGTGGTCCAGTAGTAGAGAACACAGAACAGATGAGTCGCAGCCACAGGCATGGCATTTAGGTCAAGGCCAGTATCAATTTCACCCACAACAATCAAAAAGCCCAGCTAGCCCGAGGGTACGCTCTGCTATCAAACTCCACTCCATAACCTACACTACAACCACTTTCACTGGCTTCAACCCCATGTAACCCGATACCAAGATTTTTCATAGTTAATTTATGTCCTCTGATTAGTGAGTATAAAACCAACAAACCTATTTAACCGCAACTATAATCTGACACGGGACACATATATCATTCACGGCAACAAGGCCACAAGTCCATTGAAAAAACGTTTTCCTCCTGCAAGGGGCAATTTCTCTCCTTCCTCTGGTCTCACCAACCTCCTCCCTTTCTCAGTTTTGACCCTGTGCCCGTTACCCAGCCCCCACCCCCTGCCGCGGGAGTGCAGAATAGTTCCTGGAATAACAGACCATCCTGCCAGGAGAGGTGGGGGAATATTTGATCAAAGCCACAAGCGGGCTTCACAGCCCCCCCCTCCCCGGGCCAGCAGCCACTTAGAGAAACTCTGTCCTCGGCCGCGGCTCTCAGGGCAGCTTTTCAAACAAGGCCAAGAGCCTTTCAAACAAGCAAGAGTGCTGGGAGTTCTCAGTGCCGAGCGAACGCCATGTGCACGGGAGCCTTAGACGGCTGCTGGCTTCCCTCTTGGTTTGTATTTTGGTGGTTGACAGAGACAGAGTGGGATACTTCTGAGGTACAGGGTTTAGAAGAGGCACTAAAGATATAGTGATCAAGACTAAACCAATGTTTAAGAGTACTAGAAGCAGCTAAAACACAGGCTGCATTCGAAATCCCATACTATATAATACATGTAAAGACCAGTATATCCAAATTCACAGTATTCATAACAGTAGGAGAAAAGTTCCCGAATAACCTACTACTTCCGATGAGATTTACACTTTATTATCCCATGTGGCTACTGGAAAAGATTTGTGGATAGCAGTGAAGCAATGCAACTGATACCGGTAGGTCACATGACACATGGCAAAAGAAGTATGTCCGCATGAAATTCATACTATATGCATTTTATCCAATATAGGACATACTTTTAATGGCCACCAAGTATTTAATTACTAGAACGAAGTAGCTACTCGGAGAGTATGCAATTTTGGGCACAGCCATTGTTTAACTAGCAAAAATTTTGAACGGTGAATGTTGAAGGAAAATCTAGGCCATTTAGGCCAGAAACATTTAAAATCACAATGCAAGAAATTACCAATCCACTGTGTTTTTGAGGAGAGAAATCTAGAAAATATATGCATGTTTTAAATAATCCAAATGACGACGAGTAATCTGAGGCAATTTGCTTGCATGTTAATTTACCCCAACACATCAAATTCATGGTGGTGTAAAAAGTACCAATGTCAGTACTGAAATTAAAAAAAGAAAGTGACGATACCAGCAATTCCCGCTAGCATTTTGAGTCCTATTGAGCAGATTCTTAAACACCTCTGATTTACCACTGTTCACACACGCTCAACAGATATGTCTGTGATTGGCTACAATGATCATCGCTTCACGCTCTTCACAGAGCGAGCGCTTGCACAGATACACACGGGAGCGTTTGAAAGCCGCGTCTCTCAGCAGATCCGTCTAGGAGCAGATATGTTAGGGAACCGCTGATAGACGCGGCTTTCAAATGCTTTTGACAACACTACACATTCATACTGTGCATATGAGATTACATCACATATATACACAACATAAATGTGGATCTGCTCAGAATGGTACAAATGCAAACGGAAACTTCGCTGCAAGTCAGAATGTGTTAAATAGAAAAGTCTTTCCATTACACACTACAAGCAAGTTTATCCACACAGGACTTGTTTTTGCACTACGAGAGAAAGGGGATGGAAAGCATTTCACGCCAGCAACTATAGCTTAATGCCTGCGCAAAGCCATGCCCTCTGGCGCAGACCAGGAGGTCATTTTCTCTTGAACCCTATGTGGATCCCTGCCGTAGACGTTGGACCATCTCAGCTGTTACATATCTCTAACATTTCCTCATCTATAAAACTGGAAGGCCGTCTTGTAATCAAATGCCCACACATAGCTGGAAAAGCTTTGCATTGGGTACACAAGGCAACCCGGCCAGTTTCCTTTTGGCGCTGGTCGTCTGAACTCCCACCTACTATCCAAACAGAGGATGTACTCACAGACTCCAACACTATTCTGGTTTGTCTATCGGAAGAGTGTGAAATACTGGAATGGGACAGATGCCTACGGCTTCTCCTCTACTTGCCCTGGACTGTTTATCTTTCTCCGTCTCCCTCTTTGCGTTCATCCCGCAGCCATAAAGCTGTCCGACATTTATAATCTCACACTCTAATCGCAACGTGTTTCTGATCTGCAAAAGAAGCAATAATCAAAACAAACATTTTAAAAAGGAAAGAAACTTAAAGAGCAAAAAAATGCAATTGCACAAAGTTGGAAATATCTGAAGTTGGAGCATGCAGAAGTCAAAACATATTTAAATATACTTAAAGAGAGAGAGAGAGAGAGAGAGGAAAGAGGAGGAGCTTGCCGCTCTGATTGCTTATGTCTTCTTGTTTCCCAAGCACTGGAAATAACTTCAAAGGGGATCGCAGCCTTGAAGAGAGCACAGATAGAGTTACAGTGTGGCAGCTGGAGAAGCCTTGCAGGTGGGGCCTGCTCTGACGGTGTAATATTATCTCATAAAGGGAGACTGGGCCCTTTTTCAAAAGAAGGCGACTTCCTCTCCTTTGTCGTCTAGACAAAACTGATGGAACGACAGTTGCAGAAGTCACCTCTGGCCAACAAAGACTCCAACAACTTTTGCCCAGAAACCATATATATGTACTCAAGAAGTAAAGCACATGCTGCAAAGAAGGTGACATCATGAAGCACCAACCACAAGCATCTCAGATTTGCTCAAGGTTTAGGAAACCGGTTGTGCATTGGTGGCTTTTCGAGGACAGATTGCTTTTATGATGGCAGGTACAACCATTTTTCTTTACAACCAAGACATCTGCATACACTTCAAGGATTTGCCAGCCAAATACGCCTTTTTATCCACTTGCAAGTACATATTTGATCATTTTAGGCCTTTCCCTGGGAATTGAACCTACAACCTTGGCATCATGCTCAACTGTTTGAGCCACAGGAACGCGAGACCTCTTATGCTGTCTCCTTGAAAAACCATTCGCACACTGTCCCCTTGACAACGACATAAGCAAACAAATGGTGCAATTCAGACTGCAGCGAACACTTAATATAATGTAAATACTCAAATATGTATCGACGAGCCACAGGGGAGGACATCTTTAGCAGAGGGGAAGTGACAGGCGAGTCTATTATAAGACTGTGAGTAGAGATTGAAACCATGAATGGCGTGAGAATGATTCTCTTATGGAAATGTCTACTACTCAAATGACAAAATACAAAGTACAGTTGAACAGGAACATGAGGATTATGAGAAGAGACAACAAGAAAAAGTTGTACATAATCATGCTAATAGTTTAACAATATAGAATTTTTTTGCGATTATGATACTGTATTATTACTGTGGTATGCAACTGCAACCGGACGTTCTGGACTTGGCAAATGTCTTGTCCATCTATGTATAACATGATTGTTTATTTGCTTTTGACATTGTGCAGCATCCTTGAGCTTGGGAAAGGCGCTATATAAATTAAACTTATTATTATTATTATTATTATTAGAATGGCTTGTTTAAAGGGGTCATATGATGCGATTTCAAGTTTTCCTTTCTCTTTGGAGTGTTACAAGCTGTTAGCGAATAGATATTCTTAATAAAAGTTAAGACTGGTCCACTCCCTCCTAAAACGCCTCGTTTAAACACACCCCCACATGTCTACATCACGATGTGGGAAGATTTGCATAACGACTCCCAAATCGCAAAGAAAGAAGGCGTAACTTTGTTGCTGCCACTGCTGCCGCCATGTTGTGAAAACGCTGTGTTGCGAAAGCGAAAATACTTTGTTTGGCCTTCCAAAAGAGGACACGACTAGAAATCAGTGGTTAAGTTGCATTTACAACACTGTTTCAGAACACTTCAACCCAAATATTCAGATGCAAATGCTGTGCAGCGCATTTTGTGGAGTACTGTTTCCTGATCCTGGAAGAGTAGACTATAATGCCGGCTGTTCTGACTCAAAGAATGTAAGTACATTTTCATATTTAAAGAATTTGCCACTGATGATTCAAACGCGAGTTTTGAGCAGTGTAGAGTAGTGTTTGTAGTTTGTTATTTCTCCGATCACAAATGCAGACATGGTTTTATGTTTACGCGGCGCGATGCAACGCAATGCGTAAAAAGACAGTGTAAGTCATCATTACAACAAATGCCTCGTTTGTAATGGGTTTTAATGTTTTTGTCTCCTCGCTCCGGGAGATGGCATCACAGTATGGTAAGGGGCATAAAATTGCCGTCACACGCTTGAGGTATTCGGCCAATCACAACGCAATTTTAGCAACATCATATGACCCATTTACGAATAATTTCCAGGGCTTAAAGTCAAGCTATGATATTGGTAGTTCATGATTTTTAAAGTCCTATATTTGTTCAATAAAACAGGCAATATAGAGCATGGCACTAACGATGTCAAGGTCGTGGGTTTGATTCCCACGGGATACACAAACTAATAATATGTATAACTAGAAATAAAAAGTTTGGGTCAGTAAGATTTTTTATGTTTTTGAAAGAAGTCTCACCATTGATGCATATCTATATGCATTTATTAAAAAGCAGTAAAAACATTAATATTTTGAAATAGTATTGCAATTTAAAACAACTGTTTTCTGTTTGAATATAATTGATTCCTGCAATAGTAAAGCTGAGTTTTCCATTACTAAAACTTTTCTTATTACTATCCATGTTGAAAATATTTGTTTTGTTTAATATTATTTTTGTGGATTCTTTGATGAATAGAAAGTAAAAAAACAGCACTTATTTTAATTGGTAATGCATTTGCTGTCACTTTTGATCAATCCTGAATAAAAGTATTAATTTCTCTCATCAAAATGTTAAAACTTTTGGATGGTAGTCAAGTCGCTCTAGAGAAAAAGAGTCCCTCACAGGCATAAATGTAAATTAATATTAAATTACAAATCAATAAACTGTAATGTGTAACAAATAAAAACATACTTTTTCACCATGCAACAACTTTATCAGTTCGCAGCCACTGTAAACCATTCAACATAAAGTGCCACCATCAGAGAAGGTGGGAAAGCCTCATGACAACAACATTCACATTTCAGCCTGTCATACACCAACCTTCAGGTGCAAAAAAATCCAGCATACATTGAGAGTTAACGTGACATGATTTATGGGCAAGAAGGCAAAAGTGCACGCCAGAATACTACCACAACCACTCTTGAAGTTCAGGAGGCGGGTAAATCTGTACCCAGGAGGACTGTAGTCATCAACACCTAGCTTCACCGATGCCTTTGAAGTCCCTCCCTTGCTTTGATGGTCCCGGCAAAGAGGAATGCCTGTGCAGGGCTCTTGGAAAGCCCCCAGAGTTGTGGAATGTGGAGCAAGCCGCTGCCCGGCCGGCTGGAATGCGATTAGAGCGCTGGAACAGACGAGGGCTCCCGCGCCAAGGAATGGCTGCTGCCACCACCAATGGCCTACAACACTGGCCCACTCAATGCAAAAAATATTTCATAGAGAAAAAAATGGGCGAGAGAGTGGCAGAGGCGGGTGGAAGGTTGAGCAAGAAGAAACAAAGTGGTCACCAAAGTAAAAGAGGGTGAATGTTAAGGAAAATAAAGAGAAAATGTAAGCCTTTAAAAAAAATATGAGAATATATGAGAAATTCTAAAATATTCCAAAACATTAAAATTCTACCTGATTATTATTATTTTCATATTTTGCCCACTTAATGGTCAATAGTAAAATTCTATATTACTTTGTCTAAATAAAAAATTGAATAAAAGTAAAACTTCTTAATCTTAAATGCTTCAAGTGAATTTAGGCATCAAAACATTATAATGAACAGTATAAAAAAAAAATTCAACATTACATCAACATGTTATTAAATTATTAGTTTTTTTATGTGCTCAATATACGTTTTAAAGGATGGAAAATGTATTTAAAGATAGATGAAATATGCATGCATAATTAATATATATAATCTCTACAGACACTGATTAATTATAACTTAATTATAAAGTGATATTGCACCAATGAAGTGCAACTCTATTAGTAACAATCCCAGAAACAACATAAGCAGTTTCTTCAAAATCCTTCTGGTACAAACATCTGCTAAGAGCTTTATTATAAATGTATTAAAAATGTATATTAATTTTGAGACTTGCAAAACACTACATATAAAGTTATTACATTTATGTTTTTTTTTTAAATGAACTCTACATGAGTTTTAAATGATGTCAAAGGAAACCTACATGTAAAATCAAGGGAAATAAGCATGCATAATTAATACATGAAATATCTACAGACACCGATTAATTATAACCAATAACTGTTATTGCATAGATATACTGTGTATCTCCATTAATAACAGTCCAAGAACCAACATACACATTACTTCAAAGTGTTTTAGGTACAAATATATGCTAAGAACATAAATAATAAATTAGAAAAATGTGTCACTATAAAAGAGAGTAATACTCCTCCATATTGGCACAGGGGTTTTACGTGCATTATGAAAGAAGTTTCTAGTGTCTTGTTGTCAGTCAGACACTTCAGCAGCATGAGTGCTTGTTCTTAGCAAGTGCTTGTTTGTGTGGAAAACAAACATCTATGACTCTAAAAGACTAATGCGAAGATATAGGCTGGACGATTCTATTTATACACACGGCCTCTTTTTCACACATATACTACACTGACCTTAACGTCTTACCACTTAAACAAGTGCGCAGGCAATGGGTCGGCTTTTGAAAGAGGTAAAGTAAAGCTGGAGATGACTGGGCTGATCCAGTGAGCTCTCTTTAAAGGTCAACACCATATAGACCATCTCCAACTGTCTCTAACACGTCCCATCACATGGAATGACCTTCTGAGATAAGCGGCATTGATGGCCCAACATGAGCAGGGAATTTTGGTACATGGCCAAGATCTAAAAGTGCTTGAACATTTTTAGGGAGATTGCTAAAGTAAAAATTACAATTCTGTTATCATTTTCTCACCCTTGTGTCGTTCCAAACCAGCATGGACGACATTTGACTCGAGGCAGGGGGGGGGCAAGAAAAAATAATGAATGAATGTATATAATCATTTTTTTGAACTGGTTCACTAAAACTATATATCCGAATCAGGAAACTAATCAGACTTCTAATCACTTTTAGCGAGCATGAGGGAGGTAATAAAAATATAAAAATTAAAACAATCTTTTATCTCACAACTCTCGTAATTACGGCTTTTAGCGAGCATGAGGGAGGTGAATGGTGCTTCTCAAACGGAAGGCATATCCTAAAATTCAGATGATCTCAGGTACCGACTCGTTTTCTTTCAGTTTATTTTCGTGAATTTAAATGTGTGCAGCCTTCGTAGGATGCAGCCTTCCGTTTGAGAGGCACCCATAGATAAGCTTTGTTGAACTGAAAAAGGCTCTGAATGAGGAATCGATTCCCCTTGATGGGATCAATTCCAACCTTTGGAATTGACTCTCGATTCCCAACGCCTCGGAATCGATTCTTTTTGGAATCGATTCTAGAGATGTAACGATTCAATCAACTCACGATTCGATTCACGATTTTGATTTCACGATTCAATTCGCGATTTTTCGACAAAATTATTGCTCTTTTGTTGGTTTTGATTGCTTCTATTGTCCTCATTTGTTAGTCGCTTTGGATAAAAGCGTTTGCTAAATAACAAAATTTAAATATAATGTAAATGTAAATGTAAATAAAACTAAATTTACATTTTAAAACAAGCCCCAAATCAAATAAATAAGTAACACAAATAAAATAAATCTCTTCATATAAACAAACTAAGGCTTTGTCTGTGCTCTTTCCATTTAAAATTAGAGGCAACCACTGCATTTTAATCATGATCCAAACAAAGATGCTGCATGCATGCAACATTAGCAGTTTTTAATTTAAATTACATTGTATAATTTCGAAATTTGAAGCAAAAACGGTGGTTTGACTTCAGATTTGTGAAACTGCATAAAAATATCGAAACAGCCGACAAGCTGAATGAGACGCAGATTCACTCTCTCCAGCAGGTGGCGCTTGAAGCGTT